CACTCCAAAAACCCTATAAGCCCTAAACCCTAGAATCCCTAAGCCCTACGTATAAGCCCTATAAACCCTATAAGCCCCATAGGCCCTAGAGTCCCTAACTAAACCCTAGAGTCTCCCTAGAGTCCCTAAGCCCCTAAGCCCTTTAAACCTTATTAACCCTATTAGACCTTATAAACAAACCGTATAGGGTCCCTAAACCCTACAAGCCCTAAACCCTAGAGAGCCCATAAACCCTAGAAGCCCGAAGACCCTATAAGCCCCATCAACCCTAGAGTCCCTAACTAAACCCTAGAGTCCCTAACTCATCCCTAACCTATACACTCTATAAACCCGAAAACCCTAGAGTTTAGGGTTTAGGGTTTAGGGTTTAGGGAGTCCCTAAGCCAGAGCCAGGCTACTTCGCCAACTTCTCGCGCAGTGACCTCGCTCTCCAGGCAGACGTTGAGATCTGAGTTGAGGGGTTCTACGGCTCCGTTAAGGGACTACGGCTTAGGGTCTACAGGATTTTTCGGGTTTGGGGTTTAAGGGTTAGGGGTTTAGGGCTCCGTAGCGTTTCATTGAGGGTTCCTTCAAGGTTGCGGGGCTCTCCAGATGGCTATTGGAGCATCTTCGGTTTAGAGGCGGTTGATTCACGGCCGACACCGAAATATCGGGTCTTTCTGGCTTGTGAGAGCCTTTTTCAAACACGGATTGAATACAGCCTCACACCAAACACCAGCTTCTAGCCCCACACTACACCCCGAGATCCCAATTGAAATTATCCGGGCACAAACTATGCATTGGTTTGGATTTAGCTTGCAGCAATTCGGGAGCGCCGAAGTGGAAGGGTAGTTGTTCAGTCATGTTGACAAAACCCTCTCCTCAGTAGTGCGGTGGACAGCTGCTGGCCTCCAAAGTGGAATTATGAAGAATGTTTAATGCTCGTCCTGACTGCACCTGATTATATCTCTGTGGGGTTAGATTAGAAATAGGGCAACCCATAGCGCATTTTTAACTACCCGTAAACGGTTTAGGGAGGTTATCTTGGCGTACTGCGAGTTTCGGTTGTCACGGACCCCATGTAGCTGAGAAGCGCCCATATGGAGGTGCGAGTGGGTTGTGTGGCATGGTCCGTGTGCCCCTCAGCAATTGAGATCTGCTGTCTGTTGTGCCGCGGATGCGACGGATGAGAAAGTTCGATTCGGGTTTTTGTTGATAGGGTTTTGAGGTATACAATGGTAGAACTATAGTATATGGTCCCTATATTCTATTCTGTTTAGGGTTTAGGGCTTATAATAGTAACTACATAAGCCCTAAACCCTAAACGCTATAGAATATAGGGACTATAAGGGCGCAGTATACCAGTTGAGTCTGATCCCTAAAGTGGGGTTGAGCCTGGGCGGGGGTTTCGGACGACGTGTTCCTAAACCCAAAACCCTATTAGGGCTTAGGACTTCGGTGTTTAGTGCCTTAGGGCCTTCGGAGTTCGGGGTTCAGGTTTGAAAGTTGGGGTATGCGAGTTCAGGGTCGTGGGGATTCATGGTTGCTTTTAGGGTTTATTAGGGTTTAGGGTTTGAGGGTTCAGGGATCAGGCTTGCATGTTGAGTTTTCATGCCACTGTGTTTAGAGTGTAGGTCTTACCGGTTCCTGGCTTTGGGATTTAGGCCTTTGTTCAACGGGGAGGGCTTACGTAGTCTGAGTTTTGCTTCGGGACAATTCCTTTCCGAATGGGGCTGTCATGTTTGATCGTTGCCCCCAGCACTCAAACACAGACCTCCACATGCCAAGCCTTACCGGGTTCGTGCTTTTCAACGACTGTTGGTCGAACATGACTTATGCCATATAGAACCCTGTCTGCGTAGTATCTCCGGAATTCCATGTTTCTTTTGCGCTATAGGACTGGGGCGTAAGACCCGTGGCTACAACCCCAACTGGACTCTCCGTGCTCTACCTCCCGAACTTGCGTTAAAGATTTGAGAGCCTCTGGCCACACCCTAGCGGCTAATTACCACTTCTATTCCTCATAGTTTCATATCATAAGTGTAGGATAAAACCCCGAAACATTGGCCTAAGTAATTACTAAGGCACCTCGTTGATTCAGCCCTACATAAGCCCTAAAGAAAACTGCTTGTAGAACCCGTTAAAGCAATCTTAAATGAGCCGACTTCTACAGTTCTAATCAGGACCCTCGAAAATACACTCCCCGAGTTGCAATCCGCAGGCTCACGGGTTTGGCCGTAAAACCCCCAGCTCGACAATACGGTTTAGGTATAGCAGTCTAGGGTGGAGGCAATCAGCTGTTGGTATAGCAATCTAGGGTGGAGGCTAGCAGCTGAAGGACCTTAAGGCAGCTACAGCGCTGAGCAGCTTTTGTAGGTACCGCAGCAAGTAATCAGAGCCCCTCGAAGTAGCCACCCTCTGCTTCCCCCAGGGGTTGGGACTCTTCATCCCACCAATGAGGCCGACTCTGGATTGCTTTCTTTTTAGGGGTGATGCAGGGTTCGCAGCGAGTTTCGTGTTCAGGGCATATGGTGCTGTCGCCGATGGTCCCTGGCTCTAGGCCCTCTAGGCAGTCGGATTCATGTTGCCAGGTGCATATTTAGTTTAGGGTTTAGGGTTTAGGGTTTAGGGTTTAGAGCTAGGTTCCCCCCCCCCCCGCGATATGTTTCTTTGTGAGGTTATGGGCTTGCAAAGAAGCTCACCTACGAGTATTGATCAGTGGCTTTACACTGCCAACGTAATAGAGATACCATGTGAGACAGTAGATTCTTAATGCTGACAAGGCCTCCGAATCTGTCCTAGTTTGGGTTTCTGATACCTAAACCCTAAACCCTGAACCCTAAACCCCGGTCTACCTTACCGAGAGTTTGCATCACATGGGCCTTTACAGCGGCTCCTAAACTGCTCACGACATGTCAGCCGAGTGCTCCCAAACCCGCTTGACATCCACAACGCCCGAAATCTTAAGCCCCACCAGGCCCACAGCAACCACAAACCAACCTGAAGGTGAAACAGAAGCCCGAAATCCCCAAACAACCACAGCCGCCAAACACGACACACCTACAGCCGACAGTCATTCGAACCTTCCGCCACGAACGTTTTAGGCTTGAGGCCCTAAACCCTAAACCCCTAGACCCTAAACCCTAAGCCCTAAACCCTTAAGGATTTAAGACTAAGAGTCTGCCGATCCTCGAGAGGATGAAGGTATTTCTCCAAGTCTCGAAGCCGGAACTAGCCCAGTTGAAAGTTCATGGGAGTTTAATATAGGGGCCTAAATAATTACCAATACTTTTTTGGGGGGCTCCTTAATTTAAATATATATTGGGCCCCAGAACTCTATTCTAATTATAGGCCCCTACATTAAGGGGGCTAGACATATGCTAGAAAAGTCCAGGGCTACTCTAGATACAATCTGGCTCAGAACGGCCGATGCTACTGCAGACAGAGGGTTCATCAAGCTTTCCGTAAACCTAAACAATGGCCTTATAACGATCATGCACCCGAGAGTCTGGAATAAGAACCGAACCACAAGTTATGAACCTGTCTCGCACATTGTGTTTACGGTTATTTATACCTGGTTGGCGCAGGTCCGCGCTGTACTTGGCGCTGCTGGCCATCGTGGCAACTTTGTGTGCAAAGCCGAATTGGGGTGCCAACGAACATGAATACATGCTGGTCCTTAGATCGACATGCCTCTGCACTTACATACGATGTACCGCGTGCCAGGACGGAGCGCTGTAGAAGTCTCTGAAAACCCTTGTGCAAATCTTGTAAACAAACCCTGCAAGCAAATCCCCCAACTCTGTAACTACACCCCTTAACCTATAAGTCTTCACTGTGATTTCCTCAACAAGACTGATTTTATGGTTTAGGGCTCATAGTGTTTAGGGTTTAGGGCTTGCGATTTACGGCTCAGGAGTCAAGGAGTTTGTAGGGAAAGTCTCCGCAACCTGAGACCACCTGAAGCTTCACGAGTAGTGCCCGCACTCGGTAATCGCCCTAAGCCCTCAGCCCCAAACCCTAAACTCTAAGAGCCCGAAACCATAAAACCTAAACCCCTAGGCCCTAAACCCTAATTGTCTAGCAAACCCTAAACCCTAAACCCTAAATAGCCAAGGTGACCGACCTGCTGATAGGGTACAACGTTCTGGAACGCCGGCGCCCGAGGACTTCAGCGACTGCAAGGGTTTTTCGGTCTAGAGGGTTTAGGGTTTAGGGCACTTATACAGATGTTGGGTTTAGCGTTTAGGGTCGACGGTCTAGAGGGAACTTCGATTCCGGAGCCGTTTAGGATTTGTGGGATTTTGGGGGCCGTGGGATTGGGCCGGCTTATGGTCTCCCCATAGGCCGCATAGTAGTTCCTTTTTGTGATGACCTAAAAGGATCCAAAATATAAGCCACAAAAAGAAAAGGAACTACTATGGGGCCTATGGGTCTATTCTTGTCGGTATTTGGAATGTAGATTCACGACTGAGATCGTGGACGTGGACGATGTGGATGAGGATGTTGACCATGTGTATGGTCATGTTATGACTTCAATCAGTTCAACATAGGAGTTACAAGGTTAGAACAGGATGTTGGTAGAGTATACTGCCGCGATAGGGACGATAAAGGAATATGATTACTAAATCATGTTCAGACCCCTACACATCACAAACAAGGTTCCAAGCCTCCCCCGGGTCAGTGAGCTGTGGTGTGCGGCTATTGATTATTATTGCTGGTGGACAGATGTCCGCATTATCCTTGATGAAGAATGATCATAGTCTAGATTCCTAGCTTGATTTACATAGTTGGTAGTTCTGGATCGGACATGGAGGTCCATTCAGATGGTATTGCTCGCACGACAACAAGGTCATCTTTGCGGTATGTACCTTCATGCCAGGGTCAGAAAGGGAAGCCGCGGTAGGAGAGAACAAGCTCGCAGGCCAGTGCTAGTTCTGCATGTGGGACCTGCGCAGATCTGTGACCAGTAGCAGCATCAGATACTGTAGGGATCTCTCTAGGCAGGGCCCTGCAGTTCGATGACGCTGCGCCTCTCCGATGCTTTGCTGGCACCCAGAGCTGGCTTTGCCCGTGCCGGGCACCACCCCATGTCATCGGCAGCCTCTGCATCGGCCTCAAGCGCGGGCAGTGCCAAGACAGCCTGCACTATCAACGTTCACAACGCCGGCGACACGAGCGGCTACGTAGCTTATGGAGTCGAGCGTGTTCGGGCTTGGCGGACTTCTGCGCGTGCTGACCCGTACCAGAAAGTGAAAGTTCAGCCACATGGGGACGCGAGAGAGAAGGCCAAGCTGGTGCGTGAAGGCTTGCGTCGCCATCTTGAAGATGCGGAGGATAGCCCCAGAGTGTCCCTAAGTCCCAGCACAACCATTCCTGAATCGCCAGTGCATCCTCTGAATTTGAAGATGCCGTTCAGGAGAAGGAACTCCACAGAGAGTCTAGTGTTTCAGTAGAACGCCGCCGGTGCAGAGACCGCCCATATGTCTTCAAACAGTATTTCGAGAGTACAATGCCAACGCATCGGTCCCTCGACGATCAATTAGCGTACGAGCTGAGCTTGTACTACAAGGATCTGAAGGGCCTCAGCAATGTGGTGCAAATCCAGACGCATTTCTACGATCCTACGCAAACGCTGACGTTTGTGTTTCCCGATCTCGGGACCAACAAGTATCCTACTGACAGATGTGGCATAGTCAGCTATATGCGACAGATGCTGTTGGCACTGGATGCTTTATGGAATCGTGACATTGTCCACTGCAACATTAAAGGCGGCCCCAAGCCAAACGCAATCTTTGATTCTCGTGGCAAGCTGACGCTTATCGACTTTGAATCGGCAGTCCGACGACATGAGCTCATTGACCAAGGGCAGAATCTTCTGTCCTCATGGGATCAGACTCTCAGCTACCGAGGCAACTGCCATTATGTAGCGCCAGAAGTGTTGGTTCCACAGCCAGGACACAGCATCTACGGGGAAACCAGGTTCGGACGTCGCAGAGATATTTTCAGTGCAGGTGTTGTCTTCGCAGAGCTTTTATTGGATGTGGCACACATCTTCAACTATGAAACCGATGACGAGGGCTATGTTTTGGACGAAGACATCATTGCGGCCTACGACGACTTGACAGCTCGTCTTTGTTTCATGCTTCCGGAAACTGCCTTGGGTTGCTACGGCAACTTCTTACAGGATCATTCGGAGTTTAATCGCTTGGCATCTGATCTAGTTGTGAAGATGCTCCAGTCGTGTCGGTTTTCTCGACCGAAGCCATCAGACCTTCTTCAGCACTCGTTTTTCAAACTGAGCTTTTGCCCCTTGCACGATGCTTTCGGGTGAAAAATCATAGGCTGTGCTTATCCGAATGACTACCCTGAACTCTGTGCTGGGCCGAAGCCCTAAAAGCCTAAGCTCTAAACCGTGAATGTTTCTCACATAATTGGAAGAGTCGCAGGGGCACAGAAGCTCTCGACAAGCATTACAGTCTGTGCTGCAGCTGCTGCGCCGCGAAAAAATGATCAAAGATCCCTTGAAGCTTCGTTTGCGAGTCTGCAGATTGGAATTCTCCACTCAATTGCTCCAAGCCCCGGGAAGTTTTCTGAAGCTGAGCATGCCAGAGCCGAAAATGGTGAAGCCCCTCCTGTTCATGCAGGCTGCATGACGGCTTCAGTGTTTGGTCATGGGCCGGCAGCACTCGGACAAGTCCTAGTTCATCATCCTCGGCATCAGGATCACAATCGGAATCGTGTTCGAAAGTCATTTTCATGATCATCTTCATGATCATTGTTCAGATGGGCGTGCGGAATTAAAGAGGACAGATGAGGATGGTCACGACGATGTGTGCTGTCACCGTTCCGCTCTCCGGCATGATGAGCAACCAGTCCTATCTGATGATGAGCATGTTGATCGGATTTCGAGAATGATGGTGGTGAGGAGGAGGCCGGAGAGCGCCCGAGAGGAGGAAGAAAAGGATCAGGATGACGACAGCAACAGGGACAAGGGGAGGAGGAGGGTTCAGGATTAAGGGAGGACGACAAGTGGGAAGAGGACACGTGGTTGTTATGATGATTCCTTTGGCTGTGGTGCAGCCCGTAAGGTTGATGCTTCTGGTGACAGGCCAGTCATCGGAAAAGCTGCGGAAGCATCTATACAGATCTAGAGATATACGACTTGACTAGCTGTATCATACGTCCACTCCAATACTTCGGAAATGCCGCTCTCCCACATTATATGAGTTGCAAAAAAGCAGAGGAGACGCCAGTGGCAGTTGCACTGTTCCTCTCAGTCCTGCGTATGTAAGGTATCCTCTTCTTGATTCCGGCCAACCACGCGTCCACCGGCGAGGATGCTGTGCTGTGTAGGGGCTCAGGGTCGAAGCAAAGGATCACTGGATTTAGGGTTTAGGGGTTTAGGGTTTAGGGTTTAGGGTGGATTTATTTGGCCGTCGAGTGTAGGGACCTTAACAATTCAATTGGGGTTTTGGGGCCCAGTATGCTATGATTATAATAAGGAAACCCCTAAATGATCTAGGTAAGAATGTAGGCCCCTGCATTATACTGAGTGATCCTAAGTAAGCATGTTTCAGATTTGTCAGCATAGTACATTTTTTTGAACACATGAGGGTCAAAGGGGGCTTATAGTATGCGTAGGAGCGGCTGTTATACTCCACTGAGTACTTCTCTCTCCTTTCGTCAGTAGTATAGCCCGTGTTCTAAGCCCCGTGATCTGATAATGGACTAGGCTTCAGTGTTAAACCCCAATCCCTAAGCACTTCGCTCAAACCCTGAAAGCTACTTGCGAAGCTACGGCAGATTCCTTCGTTGCCAATTTCGAGACCGTAACTGGCGAGTAGGGCACCCTATCAAACCTCCCAAAGCCATCCGTAGCTCTAGAGCAGCCCAGCGCTGTCGATGTCGACCCTCCAAAGACCCCTAAACCTAAACCCCAACTTTCCCAAGCTCATAAAACCGTAAGCACCACAAGCCTCAACCCGCTTAGAAAGAAGTAGGGTTTAGGGTTTAAGGTTTAGGGATTAGGGTCTAAGGTCGATTAGGGTTTAGGGATTAGGGTTTTGGGTTTTAGGGATACCCCTGAAACCCTGAGCTGACTCCCGAGCCCTACATGACAAGCCACTATAAACCCTCTTGCCCTGAGCACTCTGAGGGAGCCAAGCCCTGAACTGAATTCCAAGCTCCTTAAACCTTTCAACTCGGGTTTAGGGTTTAGGGTTTAGGGTTTAGGGGTTTAGGGTTTATAGGGTTTAGGGTTTAGGGTTTTGGGTTTAGGGTTTAGGGAAACCCTAAACCCTAAACCCTAAACCCACACCCCCTCCCCCCCAAAGCAGTCCCTAATGAACCCCAAACCTCAACGTAGCTCAGCACCCAGATGTCGACTAATTATGGGCGGGGGTGAGGGCAGAGTGTGGGTAGTTAGTACCCTCAGCCCTAAACCCTTAAGCCCTAAACTCCTAAACCCTAAGCCCTAAGCCCTAAACCCTAAACCCTAAACCCTAAACCCTAAACCGACGATCACTGCTTTTATGTAGCCCTCACAGGGCCTGATCCCAGAAGCCCCAAACCCTCTTCCACCCCTTTCAGTATAGCGGCCCAGATTTTTTAGAATAGGGTTTTGGGTTCCTTTAAGGGTTTTATAAGGGCTACTATAAGGGTTTAGGGCTTAGGGGCCTTAACTTTTTAGAATAGGGCTTTGGGGTGTGTTATATTACAAATATATCATAAGGAACCCCCAAAACATCGTGTAGGTAATGAATTCAGGCCCCTACATTACCCTCTAAACCCTAAACCCTAAACCCTAAACCCTAAACCCTAACCCTAAACCCTCCAAAGGCCCCACTTCTTGCGTGCGTCTTGGCTCAAGTCCTGCGCTCTTCGTCAAATCGACCTTTGCACCTGCAGCGTCTGACCAGCCTTGAGGACGCTGCTTAGGGACTTTTCAGCTTGCCATGTTTAAAAAGCCCCACTTGGAGGATCATGGGACTTAGTAAGTAGGGTTATAACTAAGGTAAACATACTTATAATCAATAATTAGTATAGGGTTTTGGGGGTTCCTTATTGTGATTTTAGTATAATATACTCCAAAACCCTATTCTAGTTATTAAGGCCTTTACATTAGTCGCCTAAGCTTTCAAAATTTGGGTTCGGGGTGCACCACTGGCCTTAAGGGTCCATGTGCTCATATAGGATATACATTGGCCCCAAAGTACCTATATAGAGACAACTTTAAGGCCAAAGTACCTACTATCTGGGTACATGGACCCTTAGGGAGGGGGTTTGGCAGGTCTTACAGGGTTCGTTCAGTTGGCATAAGGTTCTTGCAATGCGTTACAAGCTGTCACAAGTACTTTATGCAGACACAGACGATAAAACTCTGCATGTCTGCATGTTTGTATTTGTTCATGTGTTGTTGTTTAAGGCTTAGTTTCGGGTTGTCGGGTTTATGAAGGATGCATTTCGGGCGCAAGGTCCTGTTCTGGTGGAACAGTTTAGCGGTCGTCGTAGCGCTCGAGAAGTGGGCTTTTGTGTGCAAGTCTTGGCGGGTGGCTCAAACCAGGGGCTCTGATGTTTGAACCTTCGGCGTTTATCCAAACGGCTAGAACCATCTAAATCCTCAAAACCCTAACACCCTAAGCAACTAAAGACGACACCCTTGCTTTATTATCGGCACCCTAAACCCTAAACCCAAAACCCTAACTTTTGGGAGCCAGAAGAGAAGACCGCCGAGATGAGAACTTCTGGGTCGCGATGGCTTCGGGTTTGGGCACCCCGAACATGTGTAGAATCATCGGCAGTTTTGTAGGCCTAATCTAGGGGCTTAAATAGTTACTATTCATATTTTGGGGGGTTCCTTATTTTATGGTAATAGTATAATATGCCCCCAAAACCCTATTCTGATTATTCAGGGCCCTTATGACTTTTGGGATTTGGGGGGGTTAGGTAGGGCTTAGGGTTTAGAGCAAAGAACCAAGCCGCTAAACCAAAGAGGCCTTCATACCTTGGCTTTGAGGTCCTTCAAAGCAAGGTGTGAATTAGTTTGGGGTGTAGATCCCTAAACCCGAAACCTCCATCCCTCCTGCGCTATCCGAAGCTATCGCCCATTATAGACCGATGTTGAAGCCGCCAAGCCAAAAAAAAGAAGCCATATTACCCTAAATGCGGCTGATGCGGTTGATGATATAAACCTTGCATTACCCATCATAAGGAAGATACCATAATTCCCATAGTTTAGGGCCCTTAAGGTTATGCAGGATCTACACCATCAACAGTAGTGACAGTGCTCATAATAGTCCCGGACTTCCGGGTTCCTGGTGCAGGGGTTTGGGGTTTAGGGCTAAAGCCCTAAACCCCAAACCCCAGACCCCGACAGCGAAACCCGAAGCACTCCAGTCAAAAGAACCCTAAGCCCCATACCCGATCTCAATCCTAAACTCCTAATGCTAAGCCTTGACGGAACCCTTCATCCATCCATACCCCAAAACTCGAAGCCCCAGCCCTTAGTATCCTAATCCTCAACCCTAAACGCATTTTCCTAATCCCTAGCATAGTACCCTGCAAGAAACCCTGAAGGGAATCCCACAAGGAAACCTAAAACCCTTCGGAATCCCTCAAAGGAATCCCTAAAAGAACCCTAAAACCCTTCGTAGGAATCCTTAAAGGAACCCCTGAAAGGACCCCTCAAACGCTTCCAAATCCCTAAAAGGACCCCTAAAACCCTTCGGAATCCCTGAAAGGAATCCTTAAAAGGACCCTCAAACCCCTTTGAATCCCTGAAAGGAATCCCCAAAACACCCCTAAAACGCTTCGGAATCCGTGAAAGGAATCCACAAAAAAACACCCCTAAACCCGTCGGAATCCCTGAAAGGAATCCTTAAAAGGACCCTTAAAACCCTTCCAAATCCCTGAAAGGAATCCCTAAAGGGACCCTAAAACCCTGCGGAATCCCTGAAAGGAATCCCTAAGGGAACCCTAAACCCTTCGTAGGACTGCCTGTCAGCATGACCTCGGCCGAGACTCTCGGAGCAATCGTTCGACACCCTAAAACCATAAACCCAAAGGCCCCGTGAACCCTAACACCCTAAACACTAAAACCCTAAACCCTGAAACCCTAAACCCTAAACCCTAAACCCTAAACCCTAAACCCTGAAACCCTTAAGCGCCGCTATGCAGCGGTCGGAGCGACAGAGTTCACTGGGCTTTTGCTGTTGTTGTTGTTGTTGTTGTTGTTGTTGTTGTTGTTGTTGTTGTTGTTGTTGGTGTTGGTATTGGTGTTG